TGGAGATGGTGAATTTCCCAGCAGATAGTGCCTCAGCGTTGGGTGGGAAGCTGTGATGAATGTTTGAGTGAGAAAATATGTGTCTGAGTTAGAGCATCTGCTTTCACTACTTAGTTTTCAAGAGGGCACTGCGAGTCAAGGAAACGAGTGGGTTTTATCCTGGAAAGGATCCAGGGGAAATGAGATCTTCTTAAGAAGATAAAGGAAGAGCAGATTTCAGCAGTTCTGAGGGAGGAGCCGGAGGCGAGACTGAGAGGAGTGAGAACCCGCCCTGTTGGTCAGTGGTGAGCCTGCTCATCCTGGGGACCGTGCCCCCTCCCTCAGCGGCATGGTGACTCATTCGGGGTTCAAGATGAAACCATTTAAAATCTTCCTATTAAAACTGCTCGAATTAAGGGGCCCTAAGAGAATGTCTCTGCCTCAGATAGCTGTGCTTAACAGGGATTGCCTTGAGAGAAGGCCACCACAGACATTCACAAAGGCCTGGAAGAACTAGCCTAGAGGAAATGTGGAGAACAGAAAGGAACCGGACTCCCATGGGGAACCACAGATTTACAGTTTAGGGCGAGTCTCCAAAGGAGACTGCATCTCAGAGGCAAGTGACTTCATTAACATTCATGAATCTTCAGAAGGAGAAGAGGGGATTTGGATACCTTGCAGAGGCCATATATATTTCTATAGCTTGAAAAAATACAACATAGGACCTAGGGCAATAGTGATGAAGAGGGTACGTGTTAATATACGAGTACATGTGGAAATCTGTCACACAACAGAGGCAATCAGGCTAGTTTCTATCCCTTCTTTATTCAGGGGCTATAAGGATGGATGCATGGTGTGGAGTGGAGAGAGGGCGGACATGGGATACTTCTGGAAAAACCCCATAAAAGGCTGTTTTGTTTTGTTTTGAGTTTGCATGTCTATAATAGGCTCTGGGACCTCTTACTACAGTAACTTCTGATATTTGCTAAAGTCAGTGTCCTTTTTGGGTGCTATTTCCTTCTCTATGTATCTTTGTATCTTTAGCCAATAACATCTACACAACCAGGTTAGGTCTCCTGGCTTTCTGCTTACTGTTTCCAACACTTACGTTCTGTCATCAAAGCTACCATGAGGCTAAAGTATAAAGTGGATAAAGTGGAATTCAAGGTTCTTTCATTCCCATTTTACTGGATCCTTCTTTCTGATACTACTACCTTCCCCTCACCTCCTTCAGGGAGCCCAATGACCCTCTCCCCCCTGACCTCACCCTTCCTGACAGACCATCCTCTTCTTGGCCTCATCTAAATATGTACCTTTTGTGGTCTGCACCCTCAGGTTCTTGTTAGGTTTATTTCATCTTATCTGATCAATTAAATTAGGCAAGATGAATTGAAAGGATGCAAGTCTTTGGATAAATTTGCCTTTGTATAGAACTTTTCATTTTCCTCGGGCCCAGAGACCCCGTGGTTCATTTCTCTCCCCATCGTCAGGTGAATTATGAGGAGCATTGGCTTTCTACATAAAGCCCATGATATTGTGTAAGGCCCCAAACCAATGCCTTATTATTTTTTTAAATTAGTTTTGTAAAGCGTCCTCCAAAATAATGCCTTTTCAGTATCTGTGGGCTTACACAAACCTAGTATTAGACTTAATAGGAAGTAAATAGTAAATCTAAGTAAAATTAGCCTGTAAGTTATCCAGCTTTACAAAAATATGAACTCTCCTTGACTTCTTCATGTTCCTGGTGTTTCATTTGAATTTTTTATGGATTCCATTTTTGAAGACCTTGAGTGTGTTTGTTATAGGTAAACACGTTCTCTGGAAAACTGACTTTAGAGAAATTCCATGCAAAAAGCTTTGTTTCTAGGGCGGGGGTGGGGGGTGGGGGGAGTATACGATCCAATAATTTTGCAAAATGCTATAGTTACTATGTAAATTTTGAAGATTTGCAATGACTATTAGTGTAGTAAAGGCTCTGAGAAGTCCTGTAGTGAAAACACCCATTTGAACTTGTTTAATTCATCATCTTCTAAAGGTGTAATTCTTTTGTGCACAACATTCTGGGGAACTAGTTTTACAATTAACACAATTACAGTAGAGGAGGCTGTAGACATCTGCCTGTACTCTAGTAACTTTAGTAGAAAAGATGGGAGACAATTTGTGATGGAAGATAAGGTAGGCAGTGCCTGTAAACTCACCCATTTAAAACAAAAAAAAAACCAAACACCCTCATTTATTTATTCATTAAAAATTCACTACCCAGTTACCATGTAAATTGGACTGAATGAGGAGTTGTGGAGCTCCCCTAAAAAACCTGATCCTTGTCTTGAGGTGTTTAAAGGCATGTCGGGACACACATATATAATAAAAATATTCTCAACTGCACATATGCCTCCACGATCCATGGTGAGGAGAGGTCTTCCAGCAGTCAAGTCTGGACTCAGAGCTTGCAGACAGTACTGGATGTTGATGACTACAACCTCTTCTAAGCCACATTTTATGCAGATGTCCAGACTCAGTAAACGAACAACCAAACAAAACATTACTTCAGAAACCTTTTATTCTGTTAAAGCCTTGAGCTGAAAGTGATGTTTTCTTTCTCTAATATCAAGGAGAAAGCACAGGGCTTGGCCTCAGAGGACTTCAGTTTGAACCCTACTTCTATCTTTTACAGCCTGTGGTTAGCTACCTACCTAGCATTACCAAGGCATGAACACTGAGAATCCAGTTATTAATATTTTCCTGGAATGAATCTAGGAGGATCCTGAGAAGATATAATAAACAAAATTTTGTCCTTCATAAAGTATAACATTCTATACAGATGTTAGCTATTATTTCTATTATTCTTACTTTCATTGTGGACTAAGCAAAATAATGAATTAATATGCAAGGCATTGTCTTAAATACTTTCCATTTTATTCTCCCTTAATATTTACAATAACCTTCAGTGATAGGTACTGTAATTGTTCTATTTTACAGATGGGAAGATTGAGGCTTACAGAATTTAAATCATGGCTTTTAATAAAACATCTGCCAATTTTCTGTGTGCTACATCTGTGCCATATTCAGCAACTTTAGAATTCATTCAACAAATATTATTAAGTACCTACCATGTGCTGTGTCTTATTTCAAGCTCTGTGTATACAGTAGGGAACAAAATGGGCTATAATTTCTGTCCTTGTGAAAGTTAAATTCTAGTGGGGAAGAGAGACAGTAGACATACATATGAAAGCCATGTAGAATGTTAGAATAGGTGATGAGGGCTATGGAGGAAAATAGAATAGGACAAGAGGTAATTGGGAGTGTGTGGAGAAGGGGTGAAATATAATTTTAAATAGATTGGACAGTGTTGTCTTTTGAGATGGTGACTATTGAATAATGATTTGCAGGGGGCGAGGGAATGAAATATTGGGAATATTAGAGATAAGAGGGTTCTTCTGGTCAGAGGGGACAAATAGTGCAAAGGCCCTGAGGTGTGCATATGTTGGGCATGTTTGAGAAACTGTGTCCAGTGGAACTGGTGTGAAGTGAGCAAGGGAGGGGGTAAGAAATAGATCAGGGAGGCCGGAGTGTACAGGGAAGCCAGAGTGCACAGGGCCTGCAGATCACCGCTAGGGCTCTGGCTTGCACCATTCATAGCGTGGGAGACATGGGAGGATTTTGAGCAGAGGAGTGACATAACCTGATATATATTTTAAAAGGATCGCTTTGACCATTTTGTTGAGAATACAAACAGTAGGGGTTAAAGGTGGAAGCAGGGAAATAAAAAACTGCTCAGTTCTGGTGCAAAATGAAGTGAATTAGAGCGTATTTCCAAATCTCATTTGGTGTACATTAAACTCGGTTAGTTCATTTTCCATATAGCAAAATGAGCAAGCTGGGGAGGCCTGTTTGAACACCTATTTATCTTGGCCAAATACTTTCTTCTAGCATCTTGAAGTCATTTATTTGGCCATGTTGGTGCTATAACCAAAATGAGTTTTTCTATAATAGTGACATAAATCCTGGAATTCCAATAGAAGATTGGATTAAATAGAACTTTTTTGGGGGGGTGGGTGGGTGGTATATTCCAACTACTTCTTATCAAAACCAGTATAATTTCTTGTATAGATTGGGTAGTGATTTGAAAACATCATCTATTCAGGTTCTGTCTGAAAGTAGAATATAGATTAATAGTAAAATATCATTCGAAGCAATATCATTTTACTATGCAAAATTAGGATCAGAAGCATGATCTTTTGAAAACAAGGCATGGAATACTGACAGGAATTTGAATTAATTTTGAATAGCCATTGATCTTATCATCCAATCCTTAGCTTCAGATGCACACAATTGAGCCCGAATGGGAAATTTGATGCTGTTTTTCTTATTGAGGCGATAGAACTAGAAATCACATAAACTTTAGTAAGCTTATTTATGGATAGTCGAGTAACTTTATGGACCATGCTTGGGTTAATGATAGGGCAGACATGCTATTAAAGCAGGATGCTATTAGTTAACCCACTGGTGATGTGCATTAGTGATACTTGAAAAGTTATACAGTAGCGGGGACTTCTGTAGTTTTAGTTTATCCCTCTATTAAGATTTGTAGGTATTTTAGATGAACTTATGATTCTCCCATTCACTCTCAGTGAATGACTCAGATCCCTTTAACCTACCAGGAGACATGCTAGAGAAGGCTTTCTGTTAATGAAACAAGACTGGCTTGTTTTCTTTCAAAATGCAACACAGTTACTTTGGAATTACAAGTCTGCTGTGTAACCATGGAGCATCCTCAGTTGACATACAGATTACACAGTTTATTGGAGATGTGAATCATATTTTCTGTATTTACTCAAGGGTTCACAGATTGGGACTCAAAGGGCAGCAAAGAGAGGAGACTGTTCAAGGAAGTGTTGGATTCATCGGAGTCCTTCCCCTTCATATCTGATTAATCTTTTGCCAACAATTGACCAATGCCTTTATGGAAGAAATGCTCAGACAATGATAATCAATTACCTTTTAGAAATAACTGTGGTGCTTATGTAGATAGCACTTACACTAAAAAAATTAGAATGATAAAGAGAAGATTAGCATGGCTTCTGAGCAAAGATAACATGCACATTCATGAAGTATTCTATATTTGTAAACTAAACCTATTGTGGTAATCATTTTGATATATAGCCATTAAGTTGTACACCTTAAATGTATACAGTGTTACCTCAAAAAAACTGGAAAAAAGAGAAATATTTGTGTTTTGAGGTGGGAAGGAGGACCAAAGGGTCAGGTAAGGCAGCCCCATCTTTTGAGACTGTAGTCAGAAATTTAGCAAGAAATTGAAAATGAAAAATACTGTATGAAGCACATGTGTAGTTAACTGAAATCTGGCATCATTTTAAAACTAAGTGGTTAAGAGGGTATAAATGTTAGTATTCCGTTGCCATCCCTGCCACCACAAATCTACAGCCTACTATTTTCCTACCATACATTTCCTAATGATGCTTCTGTTGATAGAAAGCCCCAGTCATTTTTTATTAATGGATGCTGTGACTTCTTCCCACTCTCTTTCCATTGGCACAGCATTTACTGATTAGGGATGCTGGGTGAGTCAGAATATTCCTTGCATAATGATTGGTTACTTGGAATGGGTACCAGCTCTTCCTTTGTGATAAAGAACAGTGTATATAAATAAGGGTAAGAGATTTTCTTGATGTTCAAGGTCTTTGGTCTCTGAGTTACAGACTATAAATTTCCTGGGCCACATTCTAGATGCAGAACTTCCACTGAAGTCAACAGAAGTTTGGTAAAAAAAAAAAAAAAAAAAATTAATGGCAGGAAAATGCACTATTATTATTTATTACTATTTCTTTTTGACTGCTCTGAAGGTAATTTGGTGCATAAAGCATTGTGGAAGTTTTGAGTTTTTCCAGTGACTCATTTTCATGCAAATGTTTATCACATTTCTGTGTATTGTTTTCTTCTATCATGTATATTTCCATCTTCCATGAGTAAATCAACATCTTCATCCGTAGCGCTCATTCAGTGGCTGTAAATTCAGCCTGTATTCTCTATAATGTGACGAATATGTGATTTTCATTTATGATTTTAGTGGGTGTTTCTGAAATTTCTACAGTAGCATCTGGCCAGGAAGTATTGTTTGTGAATTAGAAATACTACACCTAAATTTATTTTTCTTCTATGTACTCCTTTCTCTAATCCTTTCCTAGTAAATGGGAGGCCGTTTGGATTCTTTTCTGTCCTAATTCTGAGACTCCACTCTTGTACAGACTTTCGGTTTGATTTTGCTTTCCCTGCTATGCCTGGTTCGGGGAACAATGGAAGCAAGTCTTGAGTCTCCTCCCCTTCCTCACTGCCAACTCTCATACCTGAGTCACCACTGTGGTTTAATCAGGCCACCGCTCAGGCCTCCTGAGAGGTTTTTCACTACGTTAGCTTCTGTCCCTTCTAATCTCTCAATGCTGCTGTTAGAAGGATCTTTTAAAAATACAGAGATAATTCTGTCTCTCCGTGCTTAAAACACTTTGTATTGTTCTTAGGATAAAGACCAAATTCTGGAACATAGCTCAGGGAGCTCTTCATATTCTGGTTTCTACTTGCCTCTCCAGACAATTGTTCTACCCTCTCCTCACTCTGTGCGCTAACCACAGGGACGTGCTTTCACACCCCCACGTCATCACTTTCTTTCACCTCTGGGCCTTTATGCAGGCTCTTCCCTTTGCCTGGCCCACTATTCTACTCCACATTTTCATGCTTCAAGTCTCAGCTTAAACTCCCCTCTTCTGAGCAATTCCTACTACCATCATTCCTACAGGATCCTGCACCTGACCTTTCCATATAGTCATCACACCTGTGATTTTTTTTGTTTAACATCTATCTTCCTCACTAGATTGCTATCTTTGTGAGGCCTGTGACCATATCTGTGCTGTTTATTGCTCTAGTCCCAGAACCTTGCACATAAAAGGTGTTCAGCATCTAATTAGTATGTAAGAAATGTTTGTTGACTTCAGTCCTAATTCCACGGCTGTCCTCAGTTACTCTTTCCCACTGCTGTCATTGGATGTGTGCTCATCTCTTTCCAAGGAGATGGTGGAATGTTCTTCTTTTGGGATTACACAGATACTCTCTGTCCTTTATCCTTCCTCTCTGGAGCTGCTTCCTGAGGCTAATTTTTATCCGAAGAGCTTATTGCTTCTTGGAGTGACTTAAACACCCATTGTGACTGGGCGATTACTAGCCTGGGAGATGTGAGGCTTGAGTTTGAATTTGCCTATGATATTAGTTGGCTTTTAACTCTGGGCAAGTCATTTAGTCTGCCTAACTATGATTCCCTCAGGCCACAAAATGAGATGTACAAACTAGACGGAGTGTACGAACTCGACTGTGATGCTAAGGAGTCATTTTGTGCACTTTAGGGAAGAGTTAGCCTGCTGTCCTGCAGTACAGAAGAGCAAATGATTAAAAGGTAACCAAATGGAAATTCAGCATACGTTCCTAGAGTGAATGTTAGATTTTGACCTGGAGAGGGCCAAGGAAAGACTGTCTGTTTCCTCCAACGTGTGCCCTCCTTCTCCCCGTTACGCTGTGATTTGTAGCAGCTCTGGGCAGTTGTGGCTCAGAGAGAGAGCTGACAGTGAACCCACACAAAACATTTCTCACATGGATACATGGCAAGCCAGGATACTGTAATGCCATGTGTGGAGATTATGTATGTGTCTGTGTGGGGTAGAGGTGGTGGTGGTTAAGATGATTGTTATTGCCTACCCTTCAACTATTTGTATCTTTATTTACCTAACAGCCATATTGCTAAAGAATGCTTTTAAATTTATTTGTAATCCTCACCTGAGGATATATTGTTGTATTCGTCTTTTTTAATTACCAGAGAGAGAAGGAAAGAGAGAGAGAGAGAGAGAGAGAGAGAGAGAGAGAGAGAGACTTCCTCCTGGGGACCAAACCCACAACTTAGGTATGTGCTCTGACCAGGAATCAATCAAACCAGCAACCTTATTAGTGTATGGGAAAATGCTCCAACCAACAGAGCCATCTGGCTGGGGCTAAGGAATGTTTAATGTATAATTAGTGAAAGAGCATAAGACCAGGCTTTAAATTCCTGCTCCATCACATTGGTGTATGTGTGTGTGTGTGTGTGTGTGTGTGTGTGTGTGTGTGAGAGTGTGTGAGTGAGAGAGAGAGAAAGAGAGAGAGAGAGAGAGAGAGATGGACCCAAAGCAATTAATTTGATTTCAATGAGTCTGAGTTTCCTCCTTTAGACATATATGGTAGTAAGTATATGATGGAATTGTTTAAGGACTTTATTTTATTATTATTTATTTATTATTTATAATTTATATTTTTTATACATGTAGGCAGCCAAAGGGAGGCAAAGGAAATGATGCACCGCCTTCTCACCCGATTCATGCCAGATTTAGGATTTTAAAATATAATATTTATAAGACCAGTTACTAGTGTCAATTTAGCATGCCTTCCACTTCTTCCAATGCCACCATTCTCCACTAGAGGAACTGCTCACTACTACACAGACCACGTCTGATATGTAAGAGACTGCCCATCAACTAGTAACTGGCTCCTCTACAGATGTGCACCTCCATTCTCCCCCCAAAAAGGAATCTGCAGAACAGCTGAGCCTAACCAAGCAGAGTATAGCTCTGGATCTGTGAACGTGTGGGTAGGGTGAGACTTTCTGGTGGTGAAGGTGAGAAAATGCAGACTCAGAAGCTTCTGGCAGCTGGTGTGCAGCTTCTGGGAGGGTCCTGATCTGCAGCATAAGACATAGATAGGGGTGAGGTAATGATTGAAAAAAGATTCCGCTACCATCAAGTCTTTGGTTCTAGTCATTCCCAATTACTCTCTTACTTTTCCTTGTCATATGAGTGAGTACATTTCGCTTTTTTGCCTAAGGCTGCTCAAATGGCAAGCCTGTGATTTACATATCGAAGAGTCAAGACTAATAGAGTAGCATACTAGGACACTGAAGGGACGTTAGTTCTCTTCTTCACACAAATGTAATCTTATTTTGTTTTTCCTTAGGACAGGTACAGGCATCACACATTGGAAAAACTCAAGAGTTTCTGTATTCTGAATTCTAAGTTTTTAATAAATCAGTGAACTCTCCTTTTACTTTCCCATAGATATAATTACTATTTCAAACAATATCTTTATACTTTGGGGCTTTAAAATTATAGCAGGTGTGGATTCTTAAATATGTTAATATGTACTATTGCCAGACTATAAAATTACCACTGTATATCTAGGTTGTTATTTTGTTCGTTTATACTCTTATACTCACCAATTCCATTTCTAGTACTCCATCCTATGAAAACAAGCCTATATGTGAACAATAATATATAGGGTGTCCCCCCAAATGTACATACATTGAATAATTATAAGGGCTGTGTTTATTTAAATACATTTCACTTTCAAAACTGAGATATCAGTTGTTAAAGTGTGTATACATTTTTGGGGACACCCTGTATGTGCAAGTTTATTTATTGCAGCTTAATTTTTAAAGATGAAAAATATAACAATTTAACACATGTCCAAATCTTAGGTGTTATTTAAATCCCATGAAGCCTTTAAATAATTTTTGGAACATTTGATGACATGAGAAAATTCTGATGATACCTTTATCAATGAAAAATAAAGAAACCATAAAAGAATATATACAATAAAATTCTGATTTGCAATATGCATACAAACCAACACACCAAGGGCATTTGTGTGTGTTTGGAGCTATATAGCAAGACCAACAATGGTTCTTCCCTAGGCAATTAGATTACTAGTGTACGGAAGACACTGTGATTGACTCCCCAGCATCCGTCCCATTATCCCCTCTATCTCCACCCCATATAGAGGAACGTTGCAATTTGGTCAGATCAACTTCACCTTGAGTTCCACAGGTGGTCCATCACTGAGTGAGGTCAATCAGAATGACCCCATTCCTTTAGCTATGGTTATTAGGTTAGAGGTGGACACATAATTCAGGCCTGAGCCATTTACTGCAAAGCATCAATTTGGCATTAATGTCTGGTTCAGAGATAGGCCTACAATGTCATTTGATCCAATCAGAATAGTCCAAAGACTTTTCATGGAGTAGGAGACAGCCATTCTC